CCTCGTCTCGCCTCGGCGGCGGCGCATCCGCCTCCAACGACTCCAAGTACGGCCGCACCGCTCCGGCTGCCTCCAGCTCGGCCGCCGGCTCGGCGCATCCCGATCTCGTGCCTTCGCGCAAGGCTCCCGCCGCCCCGGGAGCGCCCAAGGCCTCCACGCCCGCCTCGACGCTCGCCTCCACGCGTCCCGCACCGCCGCCGCCCTCGTCCTCGGCTGCCTCGAGGGCCAACGACGCCGGCGTGCAGGGTCTCAACGTCAAGACCAAGGAGCTCAAGCTCGGCAGCGACTCGGCCGGCGTGTCGCCCTCGTCGGGCAAGCCGTCAGCTGCTGGTGCTCCCGCCGCGGCCAAGGCGCCGACGGCGCAGGCTGGCGCGCCCGCGCAGGTCAAGCCGCTGCAGATGGCCAAGAAGGAGGGCGGCGCCAAGACGGCGCAGCAGAAGGAGGCCGAGCGCCGCATCAGCACCATGTCCGAGGCGCAGATCATGGAGAAGCTGCGCTCGGTGGTGAGCCCGGACGACCCCAACATGCTGTACAGCAAGATCAAAAAGGTCGGCCAGGGCGCGTCCGGATCGGTGTTTGTGGCCAAGACGCTGGCGACGGGTCAGCGCGTGGCGATCAAGACCATGGACCTCTCCCAGCAGCCGCGCAAGGAGCTCATTGTCAACGAGATCCTCGTCATGAAGGAGTCGCAGCATCCCAACATTGTCAACTTTCTCAACTCGTTTCTCGTGCGCAACAACGAGCTGTGGGTCATTATGGAGTACATGGAGGGTGGCGCGCTGACGGACGTCATCGACAACAACACGCTCGAGGAGGACCAGATTGCGGCCATCTGCATGGAGACGTGCAAGGGCCTCGAGCATCTGCACAGCCAGAGCATCATCCACCGCGACATCAAGTCGGACAATGTGCTGCTCAATGCCAGTGGACAGGTCAAGATCACCGACTTTGGCTTCTGCGCCAAGCTCACCGACCAAAAGTCGAAGCGCGCCACCATGGTGGGCACGCCCTACTGGATGGCGCCCGAGGTGGTCAAGCAGAAGGAGTACGGTGCCAAGGTCGACATTTGGAGTCTCGGCATCATGGCCATCGAGATGATCGAGAACGAGCCCCCGTATCTGGACGAGGAGCCGCTCAAGGCGCTCTATCTGATTGCCACCAACGGCACGCCTACGCTCAAGAAGCCAGAAACCTTGTCCAAGAACCTCAAGAGCTTCTTGGCCGTGTGCCTGTGTGCGGACGTCAAGAGCCGTGCGTCGGCCGACGAGCTGCTCCACCATCCCTTCCTCCAGTCTGCCTGCCCGCTCTCCAGCCTCGCTCCCTTGCTCCGCTTCCGCAACAAGCCCGAGCGCTGAGCTCTTCACTAC